TTTATCCATTCTTCAGTTGAGGGGCATCTAGGTTGTTTACAGGTTCTTGCTATTACAAATAATGCTGATATGAACATAGTTGAGTATGTGTCCTTGTGGTAAGTTTGAGCGTTCCTTGGGTATATGCCCAAGAGTGATATAGCTGGGTCTTGAGAAAGGCTTATTCCCAATTTTCTGAGAAACTGCCATACTGATTTCCAGAGTGGCTGTACAAGTTTGCATTCCCACCAACATTGAAGGAATGTTCCTCTTGCTCCACATCCTCTCCAACATAAGCTGTCTGCAGTGTTTTTGATCTTAGCCATTCTGAGGGGTGTAAGATGGTGTCTCAGAGTTATTTTGATTTGCATTTCCCTGATGACTAAGGATATTGAACAGTTCCTTAAATGCCTTTCAGCCATTTGAGATTCTTCTGTTGAGAATTCTCTGTTAGGCTCTGCAGCACATTTTTTAATTGGATTGTTCAATATTTTGATGTCTAGCTTTTTGAGTTCTTTATATATTTTGGAGATTAGCCCTCTGTCAGATGTGGGGTTGGTGAAGATCTTTTCCCATTCTGTGAAGAAGAAAATATGGCACATATACACAATGGAGTACTACTCAGCAGTAAAAAACAATGATATCATGAAATTTGCAGGCAAATGGATGGAACTAGAAAATATCATCTTGAGTGAGGTAACCCAGACTCAGAAGGACAAACATAGTATGTACTCACTCATAAGTGGATACTAAATGGGAGAGAAGAGATGGCCAGACTGCAACCCACAACTCCAGAGAGGCTAGCTAACAGGAAAAGACTCTAGGAGGGACACATGGATGATCCTGTGAAGGAGAAGTGGATGAGATTTACATGAGTGGACTGGGTATGGGGGGATGGCAGAGGGCGAGGAGTGGGGGATGAGAACATAGGGAAATGGGAGGGTAGAGCTGGAACAGGGACAGAGTGGGAGGGCAGGGAGGAAGATACCATGATAGATGAGGACATCATGGGAATAGGAAGAGGCAGGGTGCTGGGGAGGCTCTCAGGAATCCATAAGGTTGACCCCACCTGGTCTGCTGGCAGTGGTCCAGAGGGTGCCTGGACTGGTCTACTCTGGTGACCAGCCTAGCAAATTATCTAACTGTCATCATAGAGCCTTTGTCCAGTGACTGATGGAGGCAGATACAGAGATCCACGGCCAGGCACCAGGCTGAGCTCCGGGAATCCAGTTGATGAGAGAGAGGAGAGATACTGCGAGATCATGATGGGAGGATGTGCAGAGATGACCGGCCACACTAGTGGAAGCCCATGAACTGTGGACTGGTGGCTGTGGAGCCCCCATGGGACTGGACTAGGCCCTCTGGATACGGAAGACAGTTGTTTGGCTCGAACTGTTTGGGGGACACCCAGGCAAGGGGATCGGGATCTGTCCCTGGTCTATGGGCAGGCTTCTGGAATCCAGTGCATGTGGTGTGGTGCCTTGCGCAGCCTTGGTGCAGTGGGAAGGGACTTGTACCTGCCTAGGCTCAGTGTACTGGGCTCTGCTGACTCCCCATGGGAGACCTCGATTTGGGAGATGTGGGGATGCAGAGTGGCTTAGGAAAGAGGGCTGGGGGTGGGAGGAGGGAGGAGGGGGATCTGTGTATAGTATGTGGAGTGAGTAGAAAATTTCTTAATAAAGAAAAATGGGGGGAGAAAGACACAAGAATCACCCAGTGACAGAGAAATGGATGAGATCTACATGAGCAAACTGGGGGTGGGGATGGGGGTGGGGGTAATGCAGGGCAAGGGTCAGGGGAAAGGGAGCTTAGTGGGGTGGGAGGTCCCAGCTGGATCAGGAACAGAGTGGGAAAACAAAGAAAGAGATACTATGATAAATGAAGACCCCATGGGAATAGGAAGAAGCAGAGTGCTAGAAAGGTCCCCAGAATTCCACAAAGATACCTCCACAATAGACTACTGACAATGGTCGAGAGAATGCCTGAGCTGACCTACTCTGGTGACTGGATGGCTGAACACCCTAACTGTCATGATAGAACCCTCATCCTGTGACTGATGGAAGCAGATGCAGAGATCCATGGCCAAGTCCCAGGTGGACCTCCAGGAGTCCAGTTGGCGAGAGAGAGGAGGGATTATATGAACAAAAGATATTGAGACCATGATTGGAAAAAGCACAGGGACAAATAGCCAAACTGGTGGAAACACATGAACTGTGAGCCAATAGCTGAGGAGCCCCCATGGAACTGGATCAGGCCCTCTGGATAAGTGAGACAGTTGATGATTTTAAACTGTTTAGGAGTCCCCCAGGCAGTGGGACTGGGACCTGTCCTTAGTGTATGAGCTGGCTTTTTGGAACCTAGGGCCTATGCTGAGACACTTTGCTCAGCCTAGGTGCAGGGAAGAGGGGACTGGACCTTCCTCAACTGAATCTACCAGGTTGGGCTGACTCTCCAAGGGAGACCTTGCCTTGGAGGAGGTGGGAATGGGGGGTGGTTTGGTGGAGAAGGCTGGGGGTGGGAGGAGGGAGGACAGGGGAATCCGTGGCTGATATGTAAAATTAAATTAATTATGAAATAAAAATATTTAATAAAAAAAGACTTTAATATAACAATCCATTACCATTAAATGCCCTCAGCAATTGATCACTTATGTGTCCTGGATGCTAAAATAATAAAGGAAACAGGTGGCTTAAGGTTTGTCTCAGATGAAGATAAAAAGCATAATTGATAATAATTTAAAAAATAATAATAATAAAGCATGTTCCAGATTTCTTTCTTTTTCTCTCTCTGGCTAACACTAACCAATAAAATTTTGATAGCAGAGTACTAAACATTATACCAGCTCAAGATTTAAAATTCCCTATGGTTGCTTCTCAATATAGTTAACATTTGTCTCCTTCATGAACTTAAAAATTCTTCTGAGCTCCAGAGCCAGCTTGGATCTACCTGAACAGGTCAGATCCACTTCAGCTTGTCAGATCCAAACAGCCAGATCCAAGCTGCAATGGACAATTCCACAAGGCCCAGAACAGCAGGAGACAGTCAGTGACCTTGGATTGTCTGGCTACCTCAAAAAGCCCCCTTCCCTACCCCCAAAAAGTAACCGACAGCCACCGAGTCAGCTGGAAGCAGTTCCAGGAGACACAGCACCCCCATTCCCATTCACCTGACATCCCAACCTCTTATTTTTTATGAAAACAAGATGTGTGGAATGTTATAATTTCCAGTCACCAACCTTCTCCCCACCCCCCAGCTACATGACTATGCATGAGCTGTCCATCAGTCAGGCAGAATGCTTAGTCATCCCAGGGCCTTGTGTCCTATGTAATCCATGAGCTACATGATCACATAATCTGCACACATGCATGGCATATCTACATAAGCCCATATGTGCATGATGGGGGGGAGGGCGGACCTATAAAAGCAGATTCCACCCATTCCCCCACCCCTTTTTCCAGATTGTTCATTTCTATTAGGTCTGTTCTACGCTCCCCCTTTACTCTCCCCTAATAAAAACTCTTATAGTGGGTTTTGTTGTACCTCTTGTTTTCTCTTGCATGGTAAACAGTGCCACAAATAAATAATACCTGACACATTGGAAATGATCAGTAAATGCCAGCTAGTTATAATTGTTTGTCATGAATTGGATGAAAAGGGGGAGGTCTAAAAAATGAGGTAATGATAGGTTCTTCTTTAAAGACAAAAATAGCCAATATTTTAATTTTTCCATGTGGAATATTTTAAACAGACCAAATGAGCTAAATAATAAAAAACTTCGCATCTTCATATGTCTTAATCCTTTTTTACTTGTAGGAGCTCAACAAGGATTTTCTCAGTCCACTAATGGGAGAAACTATGGGGATAAATTTCTGAGTCACATGGGACTTTTGAACACAGTGCTGAAAGAAGGTAAGATGCAGCCCTATCCACCTGCTGCGGGGGATCATAGTGAGTGGGCACAAGAAAATATCAAATAATTATAAGTCCTCAGAATCTAACTTCTTATTCATCACAGCCAGACATGCTATCTGAAAGTATAATTTCCAGACCACCTGCAGAGCAACAGCTGGGTATTTCCAGCTTTGAGGGTAGGAAGCTCACAGCTCACACTGTTCTGAGCCTGCCTCCTGGGGTGATGGTGAATTGAACTATAGCATTCTTGTGTCAAGAATAAAATGCCATGCAGTGAATTCCTTCATTTTTCCACTTTAAGAAAAGAAGTTGTACTAGCTTTAAAATGTGTTACCTCATATTTTAAGGTGGAAGACACATAGGCAAAAGAGAAGAGTTTGGTTCAGACCAAATAACAAGGTAAATATCAAGGAAGCGTGAGTGGTTTGCTTGTGTATCACCTGTGCAAACGGAAGTGTTTGAACTCCAGTTCTCACAAACTTTTAAATTATGTAAGCTCTGAAGTCAAATCTTATTCACAGGTGGTAAAGATAGTCATCCAAATATGAATTATACTAAACCACGTCTCTAACCTCATAAAATACCTGCTTCAACTTTTCAAAAATATATCCTTTAAAGTATTTTTGTAAGGCTGGAGAGATGGCTCAGTGGATAAGGATGCTTAATGCAAAAGAAAGAGAACCCAAGGTCAGATCTCAGTTACTCACGTAAAAATAAAAAACAAAAAACAAACAAACAAAAAACAACAACAAAAAAACCCACTACCTCATGCGTACCTCTGTCCCTTGTGCTGAAAGCACCATTCAGAGACAGGATGCTCTCTGGACTTGCTGTATGCATGCCAAACTCACTCCAGATTCAGTGAGAAACCCTGCCTCAAGTGAATAAGACAGAGACTAATAGAGCAAGAAACCCAATGTTATCCTGTAGATACTACATTCCCACACATAATTACATGTGCTCAGAACACACATACATTCATTATATATCCTCACACATACACATATACATACACATACACATACACATAAGTATTTGCTATAAACTTTATTTCTTTCAAAATAAATCCCAGGCAACAATAGCTCATTCAATCATAAAGGCTGGCAGATGTGAAATTATTTTACTTTCTAAAACTAACACAGAGAATGATTTTATAATTATGCTCTTGAAATATCAGCATTATATTTTTCCCTGTGATCTTGCAAGAATATAAACAGGCTGCTTGTGCATCAATAAGAAATTGTATGTTGATTAAGTCAACAAAATAAATATTGATTCTTTTGCAGTTTTATTTTATCAGATAATATTATTACTTTAGAGATCAGATATTCAGCATAAAAATATCAGAAATAACAAGCATTCAAAATGGAAAGCAATCAAATTTTATTTGTGTTTTATTTTGTATTATTGGATTTATGTTTGAAAAGAGGTGTACATGCTTTCTAGGTATTTACAATGTTAGAAAGTGGTGAGACTCACACTTCTCCCTGCACATGAATACATCAACAAAACCAAGAATTATCATCAGTTTCTCTTAATTTTTGGAAGCTGTTTACAGTTTTGTCTCTATTTAAAAGATTTTTATTGCTACAGAATGTGATTTTGTTAAAAGCATTGGAATTTCTTACTTTGTAACAAAAAGATTGCATACAATATAAAAATAAATAAAATTACTTAAGATTTTCACACAAAAAAAGGTAGACTGGGAGAGAGATCAGAGTAAAATTTCATTATCTCTTATCTAGTTATGTTTGTGAGACCTTCAAGATTTGCACAAAGCAAAGCTGCTAGAGCATCAAAGAGAGTTAGAAATTACCTTCATCACAAAATGGAAAAATAAAATTGAACATGGTTGTTTTATGGAGTGATTATTTAATTCATTTGCTGTTACTCATCTGTAACTTGAACACTACTCAGTTGCCATATGGTTCTTTAAAATTGATCACACCTGCTAATGCTTATTTGTCAAAACTCAAAACTTAAATAGTTGAAAAATGTGGTTCCAGAACATTGAGGATACTAGCCAATTGAAATTATAGTCCTAAGAGTCCAGAAACTCAATTTGGAATATTTTCCTATGTGAAATTATTTCCTGGTAGATATAATTTAAAAATACAATTTTTTTTTATTCCAGCAGACTACATTTAGCAAAAACATTAAACATTCTTTTTCATTTATTTTATGAAAAGTGGGGGGAGGGTGTTGGCAACTCAAAAGTACTTTTAATTGTAATCCTGCATAAAATAGTTTTTCAAGTGAACAGAAGACATTAGCCATTGCCCTTTCCAGGAAAGAGCATATCAATTGGTCATACAGTGCCAAATGATCAGCCCTGAAAACATACATTCACATAACATTTGTAATCAAGAGGTTAGATTCAGGAATATATATGTATATACAAATACATACATGCATACATTTTTTCATTTTTTTCATACATTAGTGGAAAAAAGAGGCCATGCATATGAAAAAGAGGAGGGAGGGGTGTACAGGAATATTTGGAGGGAGCAGAATGAGGGAACTGCAATTAAATTACAATCTCAAAAATAAACAAAAAGCAAACAAACAAAAACAACGATAAAGAATCTTAAACTGAGTGGGGTAGCTCCTACCTATAATCCCAGCACTCAAAGTCCAAATCAAGACAATTGTCATTAGTTTGAGGCCAGTCTAGAATTTATGAGATTGTCTCCTAATGAAAAATCTTATGTCTTCTCTTTTACATAGCTATTTCTATATAACTATGCCAGGTTAATTGGAATAGCACTGATGTTAAGAGAGAGGTGTATTTGAAAAAGAAAAATGTTCATATTATACAGACTGGACAGGTTGTGTTTATGTATTTAGTAATATATACATATATAAAATACAATATACCAAAGACTAGTGCATCAGAATAGGACAAAACAAATAAACAGAAGGAAAATCACCTGAGAGATGTACCCACTCATTTGCCCCCTCAATCCAAAAACACTAAACTGGAAGCCAAAATAAATGTGCAAAGGAATAAAAATGAGAAATAAGAAGGGAGAAAACAAAAGGAAAAGCCTGACACAATGTTATGAGACAAGGAACCTCCATAGATACTTCATTTTCTGCTGACCATGTACTGCTGGGCATGCAGCCTAACCCTTAAGAGTAGTTTGTTTCCCTAGCCAGGTTCCCTTGGAGAAAACTAATTTTTCTTTTATAAGTGGTTGTCACTGGAGATACGTTCTAGGTTTGGAATGGGAACATGTGTACACTTCTATCAGCTCTGCCATGCCATCTGGCACAGACCCGTGCAGGCCTTGTGCATATTGCTTCAGTCTCTGTGAGTTTATGTGTGCATCAATACTGCTATTCCTTGATTCCTTGGTATCCTTCATCCCCTCTGGCCCCTACACTCTTTCTGCATCCTCTTCCATGGGATTCCCTGAGCCCTGAGGGGAGGGATTTGATAGAGGCATCCCATTTAGGGCTGAGCTAATGAGGGCCTAGCTACTGTTCAGCATGTTAAGGTTTGGTTAACACAGTTGGAAAAGGATAGACACATGCAGTAAAGACAGATCCAGATTGAAAAAAAAAAAAAAAAACCTATAAACAGGTTATAGTGTGTTTAAAAATGTGTGTTGTAAATGCAAAAATGATTGTAGAAAAAAATAAACAGTTTAAAAACAATTAAGTAAAGTCTTTAAAGAAAGTGGAAAGTAATATAAAAAAGAATAAGCCATGTAAAGATGGGAAATATACAGGGAGTCTGGATCCTGTATGGTGTTGTGTTGACTTCGAATTTTTTGAATGCTGATGAGTGAATGACAGCTGCTGAGAGACACTGGATTGTAACAGGGACTTCTGAATTAAACTAGCCTAGATACTTTAGGAATGTCTTAACTTTAGAATGGAATCCAGGAAATGTATTGCACTAGAGGAGAGTTATGCTTGGAAACAAAAGGCTGTGTGTAGCTAGAGTTTTCCTGCCTGGCCCACAGTCAGGACAAATCTCTCTCACCTGCCAGTCCCACAGCCACTCAGACCCAACCAAGTAAACACAGAGACTTATATTGCTTACAAACTGTATGGCCCTGGCAGGCTTCTTGCTAACTGTTCTTACAGCTTAAATTAATCCATTTCCATTAATCTATACCTTGCCACATGGCTCGTGGCTTACCGGCATCTTCACATGCTGTTTGTCATGGTGGCGGCTAGCAGTGTCTCTCTGACTCAGCCTTCCACTTCCCAGCTTTATTCTCCTCCTTGTCCCGCCTATACTTCCTGCCTAGTCAATGGCCAATCAGTGTTTTATTTATTGACCAATCAGCAACACACTTGACATACAGACCATCCCACAACACTTCCCCTTTTCTTTTTTTTTTCAAAAGGAAGGTTTTAACCTTAACAAAGTAAAATTACATATGATTTGGGAATTTGGGCGTAGCTTCTCTTACTACTTCCTGCTGGAGGGGGTCACTGTATCTTATGGGGACACAAAGAAAATTTTAGGATTATGGAATAGTCCATGAAGCTGTATTGTCTGAGCCAGTTGCCTTCAAACCATTCTGGATGTTGGATCATCTGGGCCATGGTGTCATCAGAAACCTTTCAGGGGGTCTTGGCTGGTCAAACCTGATGTATCTTAATCTGGAACAAATCCATAGCCTTTGGCTTTCTGTGGGAACAAAAGCAGAGATTCTTTTCCAATGCAACATATCCTTATATCCAAATTTTGAAGTCAAGGTATCTTTAAAATATACATATTGGTTTAACTCAACATCTTTTATGATCAAATGTTTTTCTGCAGTTAAAAATCCCAAAGACAACACAATCCAGATTCTCTGTGTAATATTCATCTTTATGTGGCTTATTTTTTATATTAATTTTACTGTCTCTTTAAAGACTTTATTTTTTAAAACTATGTATTTGTTTATATAACTGTATATACCACCTTTTTTGTCTCTTTCAAGCCTACGTATATTTTACACACATTGTAAACTATTACATCTGAATCTGTCTTATTGTGAATCTATTGCTTTAAACTGCAGCAGCTGTGGCTGCTGGCTCCACCCACCTCAGCTTCCCAACATTTACATTTACTGCCAGCTCTGGGAGCTATTGTGGGTCTATGCTTTTATCCAAGCCGCATGTAGCCCAAAAACCTCTTTTTTTGTTTTGTACTAGCAAAGGCTAAATCTACCACGCAGCTTAATGTGCCACTTGCAGATGCCTCATTCCCGCCATACACCAGGAACCCACAAGTATCTCAAACCGGCAGCTGCTGCTCATTTGAAAGAGACAATTAGAAACTGGTTTTAGCTCCATTTTAGAATTTTTTCTCAGTTTTTAGGTGGAAACTCTTGCCCCACGTTGGGCACCAGATGTAGCATGAGTCTTAAAAGTTCTTATTAATAAAATCAAACCTGGGGCCAGTTGTTGGGGAGAAATGCTGGATGGTCAGAGAGACAAAACAAGCCACAGCTAACCTCATCTGGCCAACTTCTCGGCTGGTCTTGTTTCCTCAGACTGGAAGCCTCTGAGTCCTCATATCCAAATGGCTCTCAGCTGAACTGCTGCTCAAAACCTAAAAGCTTAACCAGCCAAATGCTTAACCAGCCAAAATGCTTAACCAGGCAAATGCTTCCAGTTTCTGGTCCTCACGCCTTATAAACCTTTCTGCTTTCTACCACCACTCCCTGGGATTAAAGGCTGCTTTCTGGGATTAAAGGCATGAGTCACCATGCCTGGCTGTTTCCAATGCAGCCTTGAACTCATAGAGGTCCAGAGGGATTTCTGTCTCTGAAATGCTAGGATTAAAGGCATGTGCTAACATTTTCTAGCCTAAGTTTCTTGTGGCTTTTCTGTTCTCTGACCCCAGATAAATTTATTAAGGTACACAATATTTTGGGGAGCACAATGCCACCACAGCTGTGGATTCCTTCAAGGTTAATAGAGATCAGATTTGATCAGGAGAGTTTCCTGAAAGTTTTGGCTATAGATATAAAGAATTAAACCAAGAAAAACTATAAGACAGGTGACATATGCTGATCCCTCTGCATGGGAACAGTTCTGAGACTGGATAACAAATGTTACAACTAGTTTTCCCAGAACTTGACCATTATCTCAATTTTCTCAGGGTCCTGTAAAAATTCCGTCATCCCCAGACAACAGGAAGCAGTCTAGAATACATAATACCCACATTCCTAAAATGTGGGGTGGGTGTGTTTTGCTCATTTGGTTTATGGATGTCTGTCATCATTTAGGGGTGTATAGGAATAGAGAATAATAAGATAACTATTAACCTCAAATATTTTACATTGGTGTGGATTTTGCTATACTGACACAAATTTAAAGATATTTTTGTTATATTTCATGTTTCTACTCTTTTTTGGGGTATTGTGCTTATGAAGCTCATTTTAAAATATATGTATAATTAAGAAATGCAGGTTAGTAGTTAGTCATCTATAATAATCAAACTAGTAGTCATGTTAGGTATTTCAAGCTTAAACAGAAATATTTTAGATAGATATGTGATCTTCAAATGCTTCAGAGACTTATGGAATACGGCATTTAAGATGGTCAGTAACCTAAGGCTTTTCATAACAGTGAGACATGTCTGTCTGATCCTAGAAGCACCAATTTATTCCAGAAAGGATGATGGACACTGAAGAACCTCCATATGGAGTTTGCTTTCATTGTGGCAAAGCTAGCCATTTGGGCAAGAAATTGCCCTTGCCTTGACTGCTGACAGTATGCTGAACTAACTGGACAAGCAGGACACAAAGGGGAAAAAACTGCTGAACTTGGCCAAGACAAGGAGGGAGAGTCCTTCAAAATTCTTGCTTCATAGAAAAGTCTGCCAAATATTTTAGGGCTAGAGGCTGAAGATGGATGCCCCAATATTACAGAGAAAACTTGAGTGACTGTCCAGGAAGTCAAATGTCTCTGTCATTTCTATAGTTTTAAAGGTAGTCTGCACTACATTTCCTGTTTACTCAGGTAGTATTATATCCTTCTGGGGTCTTTAATGTAGTTGATAACTAGATAGTTACAGTTACAGTTTTCCTTAGATGATAGAAGGTAAGTTAGGTACAAAACTTTGAACTCACCAAGGTAGGATAAATAATAAAGTATTTTCTCTGAACTTGCCAAATACAAATGGACTGGGTATTGTAAATGTAATTCTTACTTGATAATTGTTTTTTATTGTATACAGTCTTACTGTGTTAAAATTAAATCCTTCCTTTTATTTAGACAAAAAGGGAGAAATGTTGTGGAATACTTAACTACATAAAGATGTGTTAATTTGTTTATGTTGTGGAATATTACTTTAACTATGTAAAGGTGTGTTACATTTATTTATGCTTCATTTGTTCAATGATGTAAAGATGTGTTACATTTGTGTATGTTGCATTTGTTTAATTATATATAGATGTGTTGCTGTTTTAACTTGCCTAACTAAGGTACCTGATTGGTCTAATAAAAAGCTGGAAGGCCAATAGCTAAGCAGAGGAGGGATAGGCGGGGCTGGCAGGCAGAAAGAATAAATAGGAGAAGGAATATAGTCTCAAGAAAAGAGAGGAGAGATCACGAGAGAAAAAGAGGGAGATGCCCATGGCCAACCAGCCAGACACAGAAGAAACAGGAAAAGTAGGACATACAGAATGAAAGGTAAAAAACTCCAAGAGAAACAGGTTAAATTAAGTTATAAGAGCTAACAAGATAAGCATAAGGTAAGATTGAGCATTCATGACTCTTGCAGGCTGCAAGAATATATCATAGAGATTCAGCTGTGTATTAAAGCTGAACTTTGACCGGCCAAGGGTCTGTCAAAAGCCAATGCCATTTATTATGAATATTTGGTGATACCCAGCCTTTAATATTTCAGCTGTCTTCTGCTATGAAATCCTAGTGTGCCCAGACCTATTGGTAAACAGTTCAGCTCTCCAGACCTGCTGAACCTACTAAGTTACTAACTGCCCTGCTGAGTTTAGGAGACAAGCTGGCAGGAGACACATAGCTTTGTTTCCTGTGCTAGTGATTCTCCAGAGCATTTTGACTGAAAACAAAAGAGGTTTTTACATATCAAGGTGAGAGTTAAAACAACATTCCTGAGGAGGCAGGGAACCATGTGACCATGGAAAGAAAGGACAGGTATTTTCTGTAGACAAGGACAGAACAGCATGGTGAGAAAGAAGAAAGGATGACAGAGGTTCCATAGAGGGTAAGCAGATCTTGAGTAGAATTTTCTGAGTGCCAGGAGTAGAGAGTAGCAGAGATAGAAAAAGAAGATACAGAGGATGAAGATGAGGCTGAAAGCTTAGGAGTTAGTCATTAGCTGGACTATGTACTAGGGAGCTGGACGGAACTGCAGTTATGGAGACAGGATTTCATTCCAGAGATATAAAGTAGATGGATATAGAGCTTGGTATGTCTAGAGTTGTTCCTGCCTTCAATGCCTGGTGGAACTACTATAGCTGAATTGATAGAATTTTGTCTTAGAGGAATAAAATTAACAGACATAAGAGCATAGTGTACATAGATTTTTTTTCCCTGATATCCCACACCGGACATAGCAAAGCCTCCTTGGACACTGGGGAATTGATACATAACTAATAAGAAGTCTCCATATCTTGATTTGGGAGCTGGGTGGTGGCCCAAATGAAAGCCTGCTACAGAGAGGTGAAGATATACAGTTAACCTAGCTGCTTCCCTGTCTGGACTGGCCTGAAGGTTCCCAGGGAATGCCTGCTGGAGCTGAGGGTTTAAAAAAAGCAATGAGTGGGAGGAAGGAAGTTTAGAGGGGAAGATCTATGTGATCCACTGGAGATGGAGGTTGAGGGAAGGGAGTTGGCAGCAGATGGTCTGCTACAGAACTGAGGATAAGACTGAGGGATTATATTTGGAGGAGAGGAAAGAGAGGTGGAAATCTGCAGTTAGTCTACCTGCTTCTCTGTGTGGACTGGTATCTAGTCTTGACTTAATGTAGAATAAATCAGAGAGTGTGCCAGCTTGGGCTACCATAACAAAAGATTGGGTGATTTTGACCAAAATGTGTTTCTTCTCTCACCATTCATGTACCTGAAAGTCTGAGATCATGGTGTCAGTGTCGTGGATTCTTGGTGACAGATCTCTTCCTCACTTGCAAACAGGCACTTTACCACTGTCCATCACACAATGCAAAAAGTGACAGAACACGTTCTCGTCCTCTTTTGAAAGACTGTAGTACCCATCACTGTACACCATTCTCATCTACCCCTGACCACCCATCAAAAGCCCCACCTTCCAAAACCATCACAATCAGTGCATAGGGGCTTCAACATAGGAATTCTGATAAAACACTAACAGTAAATACATACCAATTAAAGGTATTGCTAAGGATAAAAGTAGCAGACATCTTGAGAATTAAAAGCATTCCAGGAGCTGAAGAGGGATAGCTCAGTGGGTAAAGTACTTGTCCACAAGCAGGAAAACATGGGTTCAATTCTTAGAAGAACCCAAGTAAAAACAAAACAAAAAAAAAAGGAAAAAAAAACATATTAATGTTTATAATCCCAATGCTAGAGAGGCAGAGACAGGTGAAGCCCTGGACCTCACTGGCCAGGACGCTTAGCCTAGTGGTTGAACTTCTGAACGATGAGAAACCTTGTCTCAAAAAAAATCTGGATAATATTG